GTGCTACTCCAGCATACATACTCTATGGCATCCTCCTTCATTGTAAAATCCGTGTGATGAAGAGACGAAGACATTCCTCTGTGAGTTCAGATAGCTGTCTATTTTGACCCTGAATCACGAAGCTTTTTGTGAAATTGTAGTTTTTATTCTTGTCTGTGTAAGTCACTAAAACTAAGGCAAGATAAACTATATGTCTTAAGAATGTCCCAATAGCAGCAAATTACAGCGCTTCAAAATTTTATTGTATATACCCATCATGATCAAACAGACAAAGGTCATTTGTTCATTTCAGAGGTGAAATCCTCTGCAGTGCTAAGACTGGTGAGGAGATGGTTTCATTCTGAGAACAGCAAGAAGACTGCTTCATTCCAGACTGAGAACACTACAGTCTGACCTACGACAGACAACGTGCTGAGTGCATAACACAGAAAACGTAAAATGATTTCCTAAGAAATCACTGACAACTTAATTGTATTATAAAAATCAATAGTTTCTAATGTAATGGCTTTACTGCACAAAGAAAAGCGGCTATTTGAAGTTTCTGCTGGTCATCCAGAGGCTGTTTGAAGAACTCTCCGAATCAAAGAAGCGTGAACAAAATATAGAAGATATTAGACAAAGTCTCCTTCTACACTGTAAAGTTGAAACAAATAGCCATTACCAGCACAATTCGGGGTGTTTAAAGACTGTAACTGTTGTAAAGCACCTTAGCAAGTGAAAAGAGAACTTCCTTCACTGTGATATAACTGCTGAACAAACACAAATTGCTTCAGTATTACAGCAAAACACGGCACGTTGTCAGTTTTCCGTACGCCTTCACTGCTGCTGTGTAACTAATGAACTGCTCTGAAGGAATGGAGGTCATTAGCACACACGCTGCACAAAGCTGATGGTTCTTTGAGTTTAAAGAAATGTACTGCTTTTTTTCAGATGTAATCTTTTTTTTCTTTTTCATCTGTAAACAGATTCCAGTTGCCCCCATACAAAACCCCAAAAAAAGCAAAAAAAAAAGAGGAACAAATCAACTCTTTCAAGCCCTATGCTAACCGCCTCCATACATCCAAGAGCCCTGGCTAACTAGGTTGGTAATCTTATTAAATACACCTTCATGATTTTCATGCTTTAAAAGCCTGCTCTGAAGTGAAATTTGGCCAACTGATCGCATGGGGTGGATTCTTATAAAGCCTGGCACAACATCAGTAGTCTATTTTCCAATCTCAGGTATTAGTTCCTGAGTACTCAATGCTTTCTGGAGTGGTGCAGCACGTTTATTTCACAGAACAAACGCAACTTTTTGTATTCTTCATGAACAGGATTAGTCTGGTGAAAGTGGGATACCAAGGCCTTTGATCTCATCTCAGCACCATCCATTGTGCTGTAAAGAAAAGAGGCATGAAGGACGAACAGCTCCACAGCTTTCCCACCTCCATGCAGCTGCATCTCAAGTTTCTGAACCTGAACATCAAGGCTGTAGAGAGGGGAGGAAAAACTGGTGAAAGTTTGATCTTGTGAGTCTCAACAGAAAGTAATCCCGCTTGCTTTTCATAACTTTTCCCAGACCTCAAATAGGGATTTCTGTTGATGAAGTATTTGTGGGACTTAGGAAAATAAGTTGTGAACTGGTTCTCACTTGGAGCGTAACCAAAAACTGGCTTCTTCTGAACTGAAGACATTACTCCACATTTCTAAAAGCCACAGGGCAATGGAGAGATCACATATATTTCTCTCTCTCAAATTACATTATTCTGTACTGGAAATTCAGAGAAAGCCAGAATAGTTAATTAGTGAATTCCACTTTTTAACAGCAATTGTACCAGAAGACAAACGTACAAACAAAAAGTAGATACAATGAAAAGTACGAGTACACTCTGCTTGAAGAATCTCTGAATATTTTCAGAGATTCGCAGTGTGGATACAATGGCAACTACACAGGTAAATAACCCTGCATGACAGAATCTTGGCAAACACGCATAAGGAAGGTTACTGGCTAGAGAGGAATGCTCAAGGGAAATGAAGATAGGGCTGGCATTGGGGCAAACATGCCTCAGCTCCATGGCAGCTGTTACCAAGTGAAGGCTAAGCAGGCCACAAGGCACACAGCGTGACCCTTCTCTGTAAGTCAAGAATGGCAAGAAGGATTTACAGAAAATTTCATAGAAAGCCACGGTGTCTTCTTTCTCACCTTAACTAGTACACAGCCCCCAAAACGCGACATGGACTACAGAATGAACTGGAGTGAACTAGAAAGACAAGGGACTGCCCTACAACGTGAACTTTCTGTCTAAAAAGGCATGTAATAGAACAACAGAATACAGATCAGACCGGCAAATGGTCATTAGAGGTGAAAGGGAGCTTTGCACAGGAGGGAGGCGACCTGGCATACATCAGCTGGCAGGCTGCTCCGAGTGTGAGCAACAGTATGCAATAAGGAAAAGTCATGAATGGATGAAGGAAATTACAGTATTATTCCTGTTGATACAAAGCCAAGTTATGCCAGTGGGGGTCCTTCAAAAATGGCTGCGTTTAATATCACACATCAAAACCTAGTGCATGTTGAACACTGTCCAAAATTAAATCAATTCAGTTCCCAGCATGACACTACTGACATCTTAGTATTTTAATTTAGGACTGAAGATCTAACCACACCTTGAGTTTAGAGCATTTACAGTAAGAATTGTCTGTATGTTCCAATTCACTGCTCTAAGACACAGTAAAAATCTATCCGCTGGAATACACTGTAACGTGTACAGGTTTCAGCTCAGAAAATTGAAGGGTAGCATTTGAAGGTAAACATATCTGAGCTCTCACAGTTCTCTCCACATTATTAGTCAACCACTTGCTGAACACTCACCATGCCTTTTCAGGACTTCAGTAGATACACTCTGCACAGAGGCCTAAAACATGTGGTCAAAGAGAAATACATAACCCAGAAGCTCAAACAACAACAGAAGATGATCTAAAGAAGTCAATATAACAAAGATCCTGATTTTCTAACCATTAGTTGCACAGTATTCCCACATTAACATACTCTCAAATTAAACCCTGGAGTACACAAGGACTGGGTCATAGAAGGGCTAAGTTTAATGACAAGGTTCCTTGCTGAGTTTACACTACCTGCAATTTTTGAGTGATAGGGTGTACCAAATATATATCAATACATACATATGCAAATATACATATATACATATATATATACACACATACACTTTTTTTTTTTTTTCCCAGTCGAACTGAAATAAGCAGGAATTTCTTCTTTCCCTCATAATACCTCTGAAATGTTTTCTCCAGCAGCTGGCAAAGGGAATTTTGGACTTGCACAGCCCAGCACTGCCCAGAGCTGGCAGGAAGCTGCTCCCACAGCTTTCACTCACAGCTGGCTGCCCCAACCTCTGTCTCTCCAGCCTGAACCCTGTTTTTTGACTCAAATTTCTCAGCTCCTCCAGCTATATGCCTGTCACAAAGGTTTCAGGCTTTTTAGATATAGAGTTATGTGTAAAAAAATTCAGGACAATTTCTAGTTAAACCACATAAAACGAACAACATAGATTCTGTTGTCTACAGAACTTCTCAAGGTTTTAACCTTTCTCTTGCTACTATATTTCTTTTGTCTTTGTTCTATTAGCTGCTTTTATTTAATAACTTGTAGCTCAGTTTTTAGCATTACTGTTTTCCTTATCTCCAATTCCCAAGAACTTTAAGCGGTCTAATCCAGCATATGATAAACTACACTGGATGTGTTTTCTTTGAAAATCCCAAGGTAAATTGAGAAAGTTTAAAAAACAAAACAAAACAAAACAAACAAACAAAAACTTATAACTGATTTGACTCATTCCATTCCTTGACAAAGCCAGGAGAGTACCTCTCAGGAGCAACGAAAGACAGTGACAGGACAAGGGGGGGTGGGAATGGCTTTAAACTAAAAGGGGATATTTAAATTACGTTAGGGAGAAATTCTGTACTCAGAAGGCAGTGAGGCAGCAGCACAGCTGCCCAGAGCTGTGGGTGTCCATCCCTCGAGGTGCTCAAAGCCATGCATGGGGCCCCGGGCAGCCTGAGCTGGTGGGGCAGCCAGCCCACATCACGGGGTTGGAGCTCTGTGGTCTTTAAGGTCCCCTCCAACCTGAGCCATTCTATGATTCTGTGAACAGGGTGAAGGTGGGCTGAGACACTGCCCAACAATCTGGTGGCTCGGCACCTTGATTCCATGTGTGACCTTCATCCCACCGTGACAGGTTACAGAGTCCTCAACAATCATTCCTTATAAAAACTTGAAGACACACTTTAAGAAAAAGGCATTCTGTTATTTTTTGTGAAAAGGCTGCAAAGTTCCACAAGGAAACGCTGTAATCAAAAGAGCAGTCACTCCAAGGATTGGATTCCACATTCCACCGTTCTTTAACAAATATCTCGTCCTGTAATCCTAGACCAAATTGGTCCCCTGACACCTTCTTCCTACAGGTCTTTGAAGCCATCAAGAGATCTTATTTTTGACAAAAGCTTAAAACTAACATGGCTGTCCTTACCTCTTTTTAAGACTGAAGAAACAGAAGTTAATTAATTTCTTAACAGAAGTTAATTAATTAATTAAGGGGCAGGGATGTGGCTTCCCACATTCTTCTCAAAAACAAACAAACAAACAAACAAACCACGAGTTAGTCTTTTAGATTAAGTGGCCAAAGAACTTTGCCAGGAGATTTCTTGGTCACATTTGTGCTTCACCGCTTCACGTGGCCGCCACGCACCGTGCGCACCCTGAGGGACACAAACGTCACCCCGCCAGGGCTCGTCCCAGCCCTCAGTCTGCATGATTACCCAGTTCTTAACTCGCTTTGTGGGAAAAAGCCTTGCGGGCGGCCCGCAACGAACCAGAACGCTCGGCTCCGCGCAGCTAACGGCCGCCAGCCGCGGCCCAGTCAACGAGAACGCCGCATCCCGCCCGCCGCCATTTTAAACGCGCCCATCCCCGCCCAGCCGCCCGCCTCCCCCGTAGGAGCGGCCTACCCTCCCAAGCCGCCCTCGCCCAGGTGAGACCCGGCCGGAGCCGAGCTCCGCGAGCCGAGCGACCCCGGCCCCGGCGGCGGGGGTGTGGCGGAGTGGGAGGGCCGAGACGGCGGAGGGGCGGGGGAGCGGCATGGCGGCACGGTGTCAGCGCTGTTGTGGCACCAGGCGCTGTGCGGGCTTGGTGCGTTTAAGCTCTGCTGCTGGCATAGGGACGCTGGTAGTCTTGCTGTAGTTTATTAATGGTCTTTCTCCCCGTTTATTACGTTAACTTGTGCGTTGAGAAAATGTATTGCCGTGTTGCAAACCCAGCTTTAAATATTCAATGTGTGAAATTCATTTGTCTAGAAGATGGTAAAACCCTTCAGCAGTGATGAACTGCTCTCCCTGGTGTGTCCCAGCCTGCCATAAACCAGCGCTGGCTTTGGTCCCGTGATGGTGAGCTGCGTAGAACAGCAAGGCTGGCTCTCAGCACTGTTCCCTGCCAAAAGCAGTGGGCTTAGGGCATTTTTCAGTGCAGATTAGTGGTAGGTGTGCCTTAACTTTGCCTTACACTTTTGTCTTTGGAATAGAAAAGTAAATAAATACAGATTTTTCAATTCTGGGACACTGATCAGAAAAAATAGTCATATGTTTGTGCACGTGGTCCCTTTGAAGTCAATGGACTGGCTGTGACTGGGAAGGTTTTTACCATGACTAGTATCCATGAGTCTGTTGTCTCACTGTCTGCCTTGGGGTTACAGCAGTACTCAGCAATCAGTAATATAAAGAAACCCAGAGGTCTGCTTACTGTTTGTTTAAAGTGTTGGAAGAAGGAAAAAAAATATATATAAGGATTCCCTAGAACTTTTGCCAGATCCTGAGTGGTTCATAAGAAAAAAAATGATTTGGGGCCATTTGGACTGCTGCTGCTTCATTTTTGGTTTGGGAAACATTGTGAAACTATCAAAGTCAGTGTACAGATCAAGACCTCGTGACATAAATCCTGATAGGAATCTGTTCTTCCAAAGATAAAGATATTTCATTGTTACATAATTTTATAAACTACATTCCTGATCGTTTGTTGACTGATACTTAAAGCCCCTATTTCCAATTGAACAAACATACATGGTTCAGGGTAATAGAAAGTAATCATGATCGGTGAAAGAAACATGGAGCTGCTGAACCACAGCATTCTACAGAGATGTCATTAAGAGCCTATTTATTTGAAAAATACACAAAAAGTGGAGGACTTATATTAAGATGCCATATAGTCCCTCTTTTTTCAAAAAGAATCCCTCTGGATTTCAAGTAAGCCCTCTTTACATGTTTAGGCTTTATAAAGAGTAGGAGAAGGAACAATGAAAAAAAGGAAAATACTGCAACTATCAGTTTTCCAACCTATTCTAAAGCATAGTTTTCTTTAACTAAAAGACAACATATTTAAGGCATCATCAAAGCGCCTCTTTAATATTATCACTGTAATTAATTACACTGTAAATAAGTAATTCACTTAGTATTTTTAGTAGCTATCAATCTTAATAGCAAAGATATTCTCTAGTCTTCTTTTGCAGTAACTTCATGGAAACTGGGAACTAACAAGTAATATGTGATCAAAAATATCTCACTTGCAGTCTTCTGTGTCTGTATGAAAAGCAAGCTGACGTTTCCCTGATGCATTCGCAGTAATCAGCTTTGTACTGTAAATGAGTTGTCCCAACACAACTATTTACCAACTTTGGATCTAATTCACCTTTAGCTGAAGTTACAAAGAGCCATGTCATTTTGAATTTGAGTTAGGAGGCTTCTCTAAATCTGTTCAAAATATATTCTGCAAATTAATAATTAACTAGCATATACGTGTGTCCGTTCAAAAAACAACTGCTTTGGTGAAAAATGTTAAGCCACATTTTAAGCAATATGCTTTATTTGATGACTTGAATATTAAAGATTTCTAGTTGTGAGATTTGTAGTCCCACAGTAAGTGCTCTTTGCCTCACAGATTTTTTGCATTTTTATTACCACTGCACTTTGCACTTACTGTTATCTCTTTGTATATATTTCTGTGATCCATTGAAAGTCTTTATCTGATCATGTTCTCTACCTTTTCTTAAGCACATCATCTCAGCTTTTCTGTTCAGGCATGTTTTCTCCACTTAAACTTGAAAATGATCAGCATAAGGGTCTTATTGTGATATCTGCATGTCTCCATTGTGTTTTACCAGTGCACTCACACTCTTTTGTGCTTAGAGCCAACCAAGAACTATTTCCTTTCAATACCATGTGGAGATGAATTAGCATGATGTCAAGCCAAAGCTAATAAGCACTGCTGAGAGACAAAGTGTATTAGTACAGCATTGAACCCAATATATCAACATGGCTTCCACCTACCTTGCACTTCACACACAGCACTTTGCACCTATTTTCAAAACTGCAAGCTGTGCTGTTGGTGGATTGGGTTCTGTGAAAAACACATTATGAGAAAACAGTAAAGAAAATAAAGAATTACTTTCCATATCTTCTGTGTAATTCTAAATACAGCAGTACGTGCGAATGCTGTAGCTTCCTGCCCTGCCTTCCCTCCTGAAAGGTGCTGTGCCAAGGAAGACGGAACTTGGCCCCTTCATCATGCATGCTAATATTTCTTCCAAAATATATAGTATGACTACAGTCAGCAGAAGATTTCTGACCACAATAACACTGGTAGTAATCTCTCAGAGACAAGCTGTTCTGTTCAGTCCTAGGACTTGACACATTACATACAGTGACTCAGACCTAAATAAATGTGAGGAATCCTGGTATATTGTTTTTGCCTGAGGTATAATAAGGCATGGCAGAGCCACAGAATACATAAGGGTTATGTTAGATGCATGATGCCTGGCCAAACTGGAACTGAGCTTTAAAGCAACAGTCAAAGTAAAGGATTTGCTCCAAGGAAAAATAGTGTCTTCCTTTGTACCTCCTTCGCTCAGTAATATCTATAGCCTAGGAGGCCAAGACTTCCCGCTTTCCCTTCACCAGCAGTCCTTCACATTTAGCTCTGGCAAAGCGAATCGAAATGGTAGGTCACTAAGATTAGTTCCTCAGTTCCCACTAAGACATGAATAATGGAATTTTGAGTAGTTTGGCCTTGCCCAAGGCTTGTAGGTTACTGCAAAGACAAGACTGCCAAAAAAAAAAAAAAAAAAAATGTAAATAGTGATTTCCCAAACACTCTCTATGTATGCAAAATGAGTACATACAGAAGGAATCATACTTGTTCTAGAAATGCTTTCACATTTCTGAGCTATTAGTTTAATGTAGTCACTGTTAAAGGGAAAAAAAATAGATTTTATCTGGAAATTTTAGATAAAAATTATGTAAAACAGAATAATGCAACTTGTTTGTTGGATGTGTGGTGACAGTATGAAAGTAACGCAGTCAGAATACTTACTGGTTTTTGATAGGCTCATCACAACTTCTGTGTTTTCTAAATTTCATTTTATTCCTAATCAAAAGGTTGCAAATGAACTGATGTTTCTGGCAGCAGCATGAAATAAGTTTCTAATTTCTGATTTTTCTTTCCATTTTTATTTCATTTAGCATTATGACTCACAATAATTGCCCCTGGTTAAAATAGAATGCTGTTTAAGAGTAACAGATTTCATCGTATTTCCTAAGCGAACGGTGATATACTTTCTGAAATAGAATGCTGTTCTAATTCCTCAACTGTTTGAATTGTTTATGAAGTCGCTGAATTCCTAATTTATTTGCAGTCGTCTCTCATTTTATAATATTGTAAACATTTTGTCACTTTCTGGTTGTGAGAGCTCAGCATTGTAACTAAAGTGTTCTTGAGAAGTGATTCTTATATTCTCTTGGTCAGCATATCATTGTTTTGATCTTTAAAACAGAATTTCAGGCTCTGAAGAACTCCAGAAAGTGAAACTAATTCTGTAAGTACTCTGTGCTGCAGTGATGTACATAACCAAGTTACATCAAATGAGCTAGAGGCACCATCTTGTGAAATGCTGCTTTCTGTGTGTAGATGAGCATTCTGTTCACACAGGAAAAGCCTCTTGCGAGTGGTTCTACCTGTTCTTTAAGACAGACTTTTATGTTCAGGGTCTCTTCCCTTTCTGCTGACTTCAGGTGAAATTGCAGATACTCAGCATGATCAAACAGAGAAGTGGGAGGCTTCCTTACCAATCCCTTCACTTTCTACTCCTCTGATTCTCCAACTGCTGGCATCCCTTAACTCTGTTGACATTAGCAGCTCTCAGAATAGCCAAGCAAGTGCTCAGTTTGAGCCGTAGACTAATCATCCTCAAAGGAGACTGCTGAGTTTGAAAGAAAGATAATTTTGCCTAAGAAGTCCCTGCCAAAGATCTCTAGATGGAGTGGTTTCTATTGCAGCTGTTCTGTATGACTGTTTTCCTGTATTAAATGTTGAGCCCCTCTTAATGGAGTTCTGATGTTTTCCAGTGAGCACTGGTTATCAAGGAATAGTTTTTAAAACTGTGTATGAGAGGTTATTTTCACATATTTTTAAAGCATGAAGAATCCTTCATTGTTAAAAATAACAGCTAATGATAAAATTAGTGTTTTAACTTGGAATGTAAGGAAAGGCAGCATTAAGCAGCCAATGTATAAAAAAGTATTATCTCTGGTAGCCCCGTAGCCCTCCTATGTAGCTGATTTTCTTCTCTTGGAAAATACTCAAGAGCAGTATTCATATCTTTTACAGTAATTGTGGTTTTTTGCGTTCGGATTTTTTTCATGTCAAATCCTGTACAAAGTTTTTATTTTTTTATTTGCAGGGTAATGCATGTCTTTACTGATAGAAAACCTGAAGTTGTTTTTTTTTTTTGCTGTGAAAGCTAGAAAACTGGAAAATGTTCAAAAATCACTATCAGGTAAAACAGAAATAGTTTTATTTTGTACCCTCATTCATTTCATCTTTGAGAGAACTCAATTAAAATGGCTTATTTGCAAGGAGAGGAAAAGTCCAGACAAATGTTTTATCTAGTTTAACTGTTCAGTATTTTTACAGAAATGTTATGAAATAGTGGGTGCCTGCTGGTGCTATCAGGTCTGAAATAGACACCAATGGAGATAGCAGCAGTTTCTTATCTGCTTCCTTCCATATGGGCCAGAGAGGGTCCATCTCCTCCCCCCCAGTCCATACCCCAAACTAGCATTTCTGATGTGTCTGCAGTCATGCAGTCTGTCTCAGCTTTATTTGGTATTCCTGCCCTGCAGGACTGTACTCCCCAAAAGATGCCTCCTACTGCCCCATCAGTTTCTTGCATAACTCTCCCAACCACCCATGAGATCCAGCCATCCATCACAGCACTGTCAGTAATAACTTCTGTCAGCTCCTCACATCAGTGCTTGTTATGTTCAGCATTCTCTCACGTCACATCCGATAGTTTTCTATGTCCTTTTCAGTCAGTTTAACTGAAGCAGGGTCTACAAGGGCTGCAACATTACCAAGATGTGTATGTTTACATTTTGGACAAAACTCCACTTGTTTATAAAGATTTGCTACAGACATACACTAGTTGACAGATAACTGTTTTTTCTAACTTTCTGACAGCTTGAACTGATAGTCCTTAAATATGTCTGATAACATTCACATCAGTAATTCATCATATATTTTAATTTTTTTTCATCCATTATGAATATAAAATATGTATATTAAAGATGCTGTTTATGGAATGCCTTTTTAAATCTCCTTAGAACTTAGTCACTGGGGTTTAGCTGCCACTTGGGAGGGGGGGGAAACAGGATGGAAATCTATAGACAGTGCAGAGTTTATGTTCCCTGAAAGCATAATTTGAGCATTTATTTTGTTGGCAAGACTGCTCACCTCTCTTGCTCATACTGACTTCTGTACGATTGTTTGGGCAGCTGAGCATAAGGAGCATTGGGAAGTACTTGCAGCTAAGAATTAGAAGGGAGAGATGACAGTTGTAGAGATTGATTGTGTCAAAGGCGCTGCCAAAAAAATGTTGATCAAATGCTGATCGTAGTCTGAGTCCATCAGAAAATATTTTCTATGACTTGTAACATGAAAAAAAGCAGATAATTCCCTAAGAGCTGCTATAGCCTGTTTCCCTAAACGTGCATGGTTAGAATGTTTGCTGTCTAATAGGGCATGTGCTCAATGTAAGGAGTTTTTATCTGGCAGAGGTAACCATAATCTCTTTCCCATATTATTTCTCTAGTTCCAAATAAAGGCTGCAGCAAAGTGCTGCTCTTATCTGTATGCAGTGATCCTGTTAGCATCTGTCTCCTATCAGGTCACTTAATTCAGCCCAGAAATTTTTATGCATTTTATGAACTGCTCTATCAAATCAAGCTGGAATTTAGTATCTACTAGTAATGTTATAGGGAGATGTCTTTGACATACTTACATGTGTAGACAGAACCAGCATGACTAAATTAGTTTTCTTAGGAAATTGGACAAAACATGAAATATACAAGGGATTTTTTAACATTTAGAAGTTTTAAATCTCTATTTGGAGAGTTGTAGCAATAAAGCATATTTAAGTATAAGTGGTCAATCTCCAGCATCCTCTCAGAATTTTTACAATAGATTTGCTTTTTAGATCCTCTAGTAAATACATGTATTGTTATTAATGCACTTGTCTGACTGATCAGTAATACTGAGCATAGTAACAGACCGTTGTGGGGCAGGATCGGTCCTTATATTCTTGATCAGTGATGATGCTCTGCTGAATATTTGATTAAATTACGCATCCTTAAACCATTTCATCATAGGGTGGCCCATCTGTTGAAATATTCAGTGCTCAAGGCAAAAACCCAGGAGCAAAATGGAGGATTTTTGGTAATCCATCAGCTATTCGGAAAGTAAGTTTTTAATGAAATTTATAAATGTTACAGTATGGAATTTAGGAAAAGGTGGTGAGAGTTTTAACCTGACTGTGGAGTTGCCACAATTCTGTCATATAAGCAGTCATAATTAGTCATATCTAGTACTTTATTCCTGTTTGCAGACTGTGTTTGTTGCAGTGTAATCTTACAGTTCAAATATTTAAAAAGGACTGATTTTAAAAGTAATTTTACTATTTGATATCTAATGGATTGAGTCAGTCCTACTAGATTGTAGATTGTGTTAGTCAGCACTGTTTGTTCATAATATGAGCAAGGAAATGACAGATTCTGATGTATTGTATTACAACCATCATCTCTGAACTATCATACTTGCTGTGCTATGTCTTACACTGAATTCTGCTGCTGTATTTAACTAAAACTGCACGTTGGCGATATGGTTGATTGTAAGGTGAGGAATTATATTATAATGCTGATAATTATTTATTGTTCTTTTTTGTAGGAATACGATAAAGAAACAAAGGGCTTTGTTTTTGTACTTGAAGGAAGCAGTCAATTAAACAGAATGCAGCTACCAAAGGAAACCAGACAAACTCGTAAGTATCAGAGAATGAAATATCTGTGGTGCTGTTCTGATTATCAAAGTGGTTATCTTGAAATGTAAAACTTTATTCTCCCTTCATTTGGGCTTAATTCAGTATTAACAAAGTGGTTTTTCATCAACTTCCTAGGAGATCAGCTACAATTAAGTAGAGGGCAGAGAAAATGCCCTATTGAAGTTCTTTATGGAAGGTGCTTGGTCCCATTCACATTGTCCTTGTTCACCTGCATTTGTTTCTGTATCTGATCCTGCTACACACTGATGCCCAGCAAACTAGTTGTGATGCAGTTGGAAAAGGTAGATAAGCTTTAGGAGTATGGAGGACTGTGTTGAAACACTTTTTCCACTTCAATTTGACTAATAAAAGATGTCATCACAATATATAAATTGTCTATTAACTGAATCACCTTGTTGTGACTTTTCACTCAAAAAGGAATCTCAAAAAGCAGCATGAATAATGCTGTATTTTTATATATTCTATATTCCTTATTCAAGTATGTCTTTGTTATCGAGTCAAAGTTCTTAGCACACCAAATTATAGTCAAGTATGTTGCATTTCAAGAGATAGATCTGCTTGTTAAAATCAAAATCATTATATTCAGTGGACAAAAAGCAATCATCTTAACTCATGCCTCAAATTCCACTGCAAAGCGTTGTACCTTATAAGGCTTATAGCAGTGTTCTATGCTGGTTTAGATCTAACCACTTGATTTTGAAGAAAAATTGAGATGGTGATTTTACTTGAGTGAAACAGGAATCTTCTAATACACTTCTCATGCACACTATGCAATTACCAATTAATACTATTTATCTCAAACTTACATAAAAATAATGAGAAATTGTTTAGTTTGGTCATGCATTAAAGCTTTGAAAAGTAATCTGATTTTCATGGAAGAACTTTAGTATTACTTTCAGTATCATAGATATTAGACTAATGTATCCTTCTGGGAAATCCAACTTTAATTTGTCTATTGCCAATATTAAAATAAACTATTACTGTCTAAAATGAGGATTGAGAATTACTGTTGGGGATGATCACAGCTAAGAATAGTTTGGTCTTAAATTAACTTCAGCTAGCACTGTGGTACCATAGTCAAATTCCCATCGTGTGCCAGTTTTGTCTCTTTCTCTCTTCAGGTATGTGCCTGAAGTATTTCATTTTTATCAAATACACGGTCTCCAAGTTGTAGTGCTATCTAGCAATACTCTAAAATAAAATACATTAAGTATATAAATACAATTTGAAATCTTAAGCTGTCACTTCAGCATTCTTTAGAAGAAAAAACACTGCTGTTGAATATTCCAAGGCAATGAACACCAGTATTTGTCCTCACTGATGAAGTAGTTAATAAAAAAAATGCAACATTCAATTCACACAACTTTATACTTTGTTTTCCTTTAAATTCTAAGGTTCACAGAAACCTGAGAGTTTTCTTGCATTGCCACAGTTAAGCCTCCATTGAACGTTGCTGTAATAAACTGGATTTGTAGTCAAGGTTGGGGTTTTTGGTTTTGTTTTTTTTTTTTTTTTAAGAGTCATTTAAGAAAGATTGTAGAAAGTGTGAATTGTCAAAAATGTAAAAGGGAACTTCACATGACTTTAGGATAATCTCGATATGAATGTATTACTTTGCGATTAATACAGGATTTTTGACGTCCACATGCTCTTGGAATGCAATGTAGAATTGTCATTAGCAAATAAGTTCCTTGTATTTCATGAGAATTCCTGTGAAACTACAGATGAGACCTTTAAAACAACACTTCCACTGCAATTTTAATTGGCTTTTTTTTTTTTTAATGTTCATGTATTTCATTAACCTAGAAAAATGGATCTTGCAGAAGCATCACTACAGAACAGCACTGCAGTTCTTGATGGTGAAATATGATGCATGCACAGAGGACATTTTTGATTATTTTTTTTCCCCCTGTTTCTAGTGGGACTGATTCAACCATTCCTGACACTTCAGATTTTGGTGCCATTGGGACAAGACTTCTCCACTGAGTTACTGTAAGATGCATAATATTTCCTTGAACATTTAATGTAAAGTGGATGCCTGAATGCAGCCGTTAATTGTAATGGCAGATTTTCCATTAAAGCACAGTGACTTATCAAGTCAATAAGATGTAATTAAGCTAATGAGATCATTATTTCTTGGATATTTGAACTGCTGACATTCCTGTGAAGATGGAAAAAAAAACTTGAAATTAAGAACAAAGATGGTAAAATTCTGAAGAAATGGGACGCGAATTTATTGAACAAAATAGTGGCTCACATAGATCTCCTGAAAATTCATCTAAAAAAAATTATAATATCTATTCCCAGGGCCCTTTGCTTCATGGCAAAATATATGTATATTCTGATAATTGGATCAACAAAAGAAATATTATGCCATTAGAAGCCCTGCTAGTATAGACAGGTTAAATGATACATAATTAAGCTGAGTAAACTCAATGGTGAATTTTATTCTTGTTTGTCTTTCTGTACTTTTTCTGTTCTTTGATGAATTTCCTGTTTGTAGTTCTAGTTACACTTCCTGCTCCTCTGCTTTTAATTGCTGTATCACTTTGAAAAGTGAGTAGCAAAAAGGATTAAATAAACAAGATATGTCATGCAGAAAACAGGAACCAAGTACACAGATTTGCTTCTCACAGGCTTTCTACAGACAGATGGTAGAGGCTTAGTGCCAGGTTTGTGAACATTTCTTTAGATTGCTCGTGGTTTTGTACTGGGTTTGGTTCTGTTAAGGTTCTGCTGCTCACCTACACCTCTTACCAAGAACTTCACTTTTCTTCCATTTCTTTTCCCCATCACTTGCTTTTATTTTTAAATAACTGTGAGAATTCCAATTTTCTACCACTCATTCCATCTTTGTCTGCCCTTTCCCTTTTGAGCTCATATCTTAGTTCTCTCCTCTTACGTGCATTGCATTTACCATCTATACTGCTGAAATAATCCCTTTTAATATATCTTCATAGTTGTTGGGGGTTTTTTTCCTACAAAAGAATAAATACTAATTTAGTGCTGCTTCACTACTTAATTATGTTATGATAAAATTGTGCTTGTTCTGATAATTACTTAAGTACACCAATGCATTTAAAGTAAATGAAGCTTCCTAAAGGTGTATACACAGAAGATAAAAATTTATTTGAAAAAATTAATGTGTTACATTGGAAATCAGCTGTAATTTATTGATGTGCCAATAAACTATGCAAAGTCTTGCAAAATAGACACTGCGTTTCATGCTGACAGACTCCTGGCAGTCCTACCACTAATAATAGATGACTACCATTCACTTTTTTTTTTTCTAATATTTTGAAATAAATCTTTGGCTCATTTGTGGATTAATGCTTTTGCTTCTTTGAGTTTCATGGTTCAAGGTGGATTCTTACATACTCCAACTATTTACTACTGAATCTTTGAATAGCTCCACATGAAAATTTGTAGATGCTGCTTGCTATATTACATCTACTCTAAGTAGAGAAAACGAAAACCACACTTTGCCAGGTTTTAAGAATCGTACATGCAATGCTCCATGCAACATTTCTTCACCTCCCATTCTGCATAGACAGAAATAGCTATGAATTTAGTTTGAGCATCATCCTCTTCTGGATTTTATGTAGTGATTCATCAGCAAACAATTTCTGCAAGGCCATTTATCTCTGCTGGCATCAGTGGAGCTCATCCTTCCAACTTGCTCCTATGAACTGGTCATGTGAGATTCCTGTCATAAATACTAAACATACAAATAACTGTTTCAGTTATCTGTCGTGCTTGTTGTTTGGAAAAAAAAAATAAGCAGAAATGTAGATATGTTGTTATGGGGCATTAATAGATGAATATCACCACATGAACAATCTATATATCAATCTGCTTAACGGATATGTAAAATAAATTGTGAATTAAAAATCTGGTGAAGCACAATGAAATCCAAACCATGGTGATGAGCATTTCATGCATGCAGCCTTTTTGAAGCAAATAATAGCAAAGCTATTAGTAATTCTGGGTATAGCCATCTGCTGTAAATACAGTAGCTGGTTGTTAAACCCTCAGCATTACAGATTTTGCTACCTTTCTGAAACGCAGAAGTAACTCAGTGTTTGGAAAATATTTGTGCATAAAAGAAAACAGCATCTGGTTGAGTTAGTATTCTTGGTTTAGTTCCCAATATATGGACATGTGCAGGTGCCAGCACTTCTGCTTGGCATCTCTTCAAGCACAAATACATTCGTTCTTCTTAAAGTACTCTAATGCCAGTCATTTGTTATACTTCATTTTTTACAGGTTTGCTTTATATGTTCTATGTCATATGAAATTAGTAAGTTACATAGTAAGATTCATAGCAAAGGAGTAGAGCTTCTAATGTGAGAAAATAGACTTCTACATTGTCCCATTGCTACCCCAACAAAAGAAAATACAGAGAAAAGTGGAGTTGTCTGAAGCACGATCAAGAATATGAGCTCAATTTCTGGTTACATACTGAAGTGCTACATAGGCTTGTATGCATCCTTGTAATTCTCCCTACCTTTTCTCTTCCCCAGGTTCTTTTATAGAGTGTGTGGGAATAACATTTAATAATCTACTTTCAAAATAAATTAGTAAAAGTCAACATTGATAATGTTACTTTTAAACACACAAAGATTTACAATAGGAGTGAACTTCAAAATATATTGACTTATCAGGCTAGTTTGTGCTGACAGGACAAATTTAGTGTTTGTTGAGTTATCCTGATGCTGCATAGAGGTCAGTTTAAGAGAGAGAACGTGTTTGACAAAAAAAGAGAAGTTTCTCAATTCTGCATTTGGGCATCCAGTCAGGATAGAAGTATGCAATAATAAATTGTGTTTCAGCTTATGTATTAAAGACAGAGCTGAACACATTTCTAACTCATTCTTGTCAAAATACTCTGCAGAGAAAGCCAATATCATAATCTGTTATGGAGAGGATTCTTTGTGAATAACAGTTTGGATACAGAACCGTGTTGTGATGGAAGGAAAGTATTCTTGTCTAGATGCTAATAAATATTTACTGAGTAGAGGTCAGTCCCCTTTATAGTACTGCCTCATTCTGGGTACCAACTTGGAAGAAGGTAGGAATGAAATTTGCCAGGGGTACCGAAAGCTAACAACTATCCAACTGTTATATAGATACACATGTCTTTTCCCACATTGGCAAGAAAAGTAAACTCAACTGAAGGCTTATCGATACCACTTCAGATCTTTCAGATTACATGGCAAGTTTTGTTTTTGTTTTTTGTTTTTTGTTTTTTTTTTTTAAATCATAACAATTGTTTTCCTTCATCTGATATCATTAATGCAATTACTCCCACAACTGGTTCCTCCCTGATTCTTGACAGCTTTCTTCTCAATTTGCTGTAGTTACATAGAGATACTAGGGTTTGTTTCCCTTATTTTCTCCTCACAACCATGAGTCATTAGGAAAAATATAAGAAAATGCTGCAGCCATTCACAGAATCAGATAGTGGTTGAATGTGGAAGAAGCCTCCAGAGACTGTCTAGACCAGGTTACAAGTCTCAGCAAGGATGAGGAGTCCACAGAGAATCTGAGCAACCTGTTCCAGTGCTCAGTCACTCTTACAGTACTTTTTATTTCTATTTATATAAACCTTCCATACTGATGGGATTATTTCACCCCGTATGCAGGACTTACATTCTGCAATTTAAAGTTGAGAATCTGTATTTTAAATTTGATCCCTCTTTTTCTTAAAAAAGCTTCTGCATGCATCAAATTTAAGGCTGGTACTTATTCCTTGTTCACATGTTTGGGGGTTTATAATATAAAGAGATACTCTTGATTTACCAAATAAGTGAGAACTCAGTTTTAAATTCCAGAACATTCATATTAAGTTTTAAGAAGTTTTCTGTCAAAGTTCAGCTAATTACATATAGAGGATCCTGCAGATGAAAAGGGCATTAAATGCCTGCACGACTTAGGCATTTGCACCCGCTCACAGTAAGTTTTATTGCAGGGCTTGTGAACAGTTCAGCAGAATATAGATTATTACACCTTATTTCCATTTTTCAAACTGTTGTTTTTGAAAATACAGGTTTATTGCTTTCAAATCTTCCGTAAGCAGAACTCACTACATTTATATTGCTAATTTATTCACAGACACCATAATAGCTTGAATTGCGAGTTACATGCCATAATAATTAGTCATCCTCTTAGCTTTAGCAAGAAATGTGATAAATTATTCATCTTAGTCTAAGGACCCAGCATGCTTTTAGGTACAGAACAATTAGAAAAATGAATCTTTGTCTTGCAAAGGTTAGACCAGCCTTTCCAAATTAGAAGCAGAACACACGCTAGTTCTACCACATTCTTCTAACTGTATTGAAGTTAATGGAAAAGACTGAAGGTAAACTTCATATAACAAATTCATCTGGTGAGATTATTTGGAATTCTGATGCTTAGCAAGAATGAGGTTTGCTCCTTGAATTTTTTGAGTCAAGCATGAAATACAAAAACACAAACATTCTTAGAATATGTTAAATTCTTTAGCTTACTGCAGAGATTAACTCATATACTTGTAAGTAAACAACTTTTTTTAATCATTCTTCCAGTCATCATTTTCACTAATGCAACAGCACAGCATGCATGGTATTTTAGGAAATACATTCCAAATGAGCAGCGTTCTACTTGTCAGATTTCAAAGGATTTGTGCAATTATCATAGAACTGAAAACAAAATGCACAGTCCTAGTTTAAAAATCTGTCACTAGTTACACCAACATTTGTTCTGAAAAAGGGTAGTTGTTTTTCTACTGCCTAATCAGGATAAAGGCTTTTTCTATTGTTTGAGCTTTTTCTTAAAGCTTGCAAGCATCCAGATTTACTTCCTGCCTGTTGGAAGTATCTGTTTTCCTTGGCTCCCTGAATTTTTTCAGTAGCACATAGTTCCCATTCTTTTTTCTCCAGAATTTTCAATTCCCTGTTACCTAAAGATTTTTGTTCTTGCTGTGCCTCTTAAAAGCTCTTCAGTTCATCTTT